ATAAAATATGTGACTAGTAACTCAGTACCATATGACTCTGAGATTATTTTTAGCATTGTTGCTTTGGTGCCCCTTTTTCTCTCATATTCTATACAGGATGATAAAGAGCCTTCATAGCATAGTGGCAGAGGTGAGGACATGGAGAGATAGAGCAGCTGAGGACTCTAGACTAGTGGAAAGAGAAAGGTTGTGTGCTGGAGGCCAGTAGGCAGGCTTGCAAAATGTGCAAATGATTAAAATTTTTTGCTTGTGTAAATGATTATATATTTCTGAGTGTTTTTATGTACATATCCCCCAAAACAAACAAACAAAAAAAACGGAGGGAATAGAAGCAAACACTGTTGAACGCTGATGCATGGAGGAGATTGTAATCATTGCAATGAAATGATAAGTGTAAAACCGATGTTCTCCCATGTAAGCTATCATTTAATTCACAGTAAAAACTTTTTTTAAAAAAGCATTCTTTAAACAAATAATAAATAAGGGGGAATCTGATGCAGACAGCACAGACCCGGTCAGGAGTTCAAGGCCCTGTGGGCCCAAGCGTTGCTGACCATCCAAACCATAGGCTCTGAGGATCAGACTTTAGCCACCTAGCAGACATAGCAAAATGTCCCTTATCTGATTATTCAGTTATGCTGGTTAGTAATTCCATACATGAGCCCTGGATACCCACAGATAAATGTAAAAACCTTCCCTAAAAGCCGAGACTGTAAATTCCAAAAAGGCAAAGTTTTTCCCCCCCAAAAAAAGCTAAAGAGGATATAGAGAAACTCTGTTAACTGATGGTATGTGGAGGGGATTATAATCAATGTAATGAAACAAGGTATATGAATGTTTGAATGTGAAACCGATGATGTGCCCTGAAAACTTTCACTCGATCCACAATAAAAACCTTAAAAAAAAAAAGCATTCTTTCCATTTTTTTTCCCCTCAAATGGGATTCACTGCCAGATTTTGCCAAATACTTCATTAATGTATGAGCATTTGAAAGCAGAGTCATTTTTTCCTATTTGGGGACTTTCCCAACAACTGGCAAGGTTAACTTTCCATTAATTCCTGAACCTTCATTCTACTAAGGCTTCATAATTCCTTCTAAATAAATGTCTTGTGTGATGACGGCTTAAAGTAATTCTCATGTATTCAAAGGTTTTCGGGCATTATCACAACTAATTAATTAAATAAGGGACAAAATCATAATAATGAAATTGATTTTTCAATTCATTTGTGTTTTACAAGTCTTTGGTTTCTGCATATTTCCCCAATAAATGTTTTGACATTCATGGATTGAACAGTCATAGTTTCAATTATGTGCAAGAGAAACCATAATACCATAATATGTAATCATTGATTATTTTACTGTGATTCGAAACTGAATCACTCCCACTGAAAGACTGATACGTAGGAGAAAATCACTTTGCTAAGGGGAGTAGCCAGCCACCCAGCATAGGTGATTCAGCATGTTATCTACATATGTGGTGCGATGGATTAATACGCCAGACTGCAAATCCATTTCAAATGCAAGGTCAGCCGTTCAAGCTCACCAGCTGCTCCTCAGAAACCCTATACAGGGTAGCTGTGGGTCGGAATTGACTCGACAGCACTTAACAACAATATATGTAACAGCAGGAGAAAGATGAGGCTTTCTGCTCCCATAAACACTTACAGCTTCGGAAACCCTATACAGGGTCACTATGAATGGGAACTGACTCCATGGGATATAACCACCACCACCACCATATATGTAGTAAGTCTGATAAAGTGATGCAAGTTTCATTCCTTTGAATAAAATAATGATCTCTGTAGTGGCCAACTGCTCGTGCTAGTAGTGAAAATGATGACATCTAAGTAAGCAATGGTCTATAATGAACTTTAGTTCA